GGCTGGAATCCTAATCTCTTAAGATCCATTACATCCCGCAATCTCATTGCAGCTTGATGGTGGCAAGGAGGATCATGTAGAAGGCATGAATAATGGATTTAAGCTTCAGGGTCTAGGGTTTAAGGCATAGGGTTTGGGGTACCCCCACAATCCTGGCTTGCACCAAGGCTAGGTGGTCGAGCACAAGCTGGATGTCATTAAGACTGTTACCCAGAGGGTCCATGTACCCAATAATTAGGTACTTGGGATTTGGGTAATAGTAATTATAGTACAGGTTTTGGGTAAGTATATGATAATTAGGTACTTGGAGCCTTAGGGTTCAGCAAGATGTAACCATGGAGGTTCCCTACTTGGTAAAGTCCAAAACAGCTGCTCCGTGCAAAGTTGGATGAAGGGAGCACCCCAGCCACCAACACCTCAGGGAGATTTGACAAATGTGCCGTTGCCGGTCCTGGAACCTCCTCTAATAAACAGGAACTTGAACAGCAGCTCACTGGCTTGGTATTGTTGGGCCCATGGCCTCACCGTTCCCACAATCTCTGGACGGAATGGGCGCTTCAGAATCTCGCCTTTGCACATCGCGAAGTCGCCCAGCTGTTTTTGCAGCCGGACAGTTTCCACTACCTGAGTCACCACATGAAGCCGACTTGCCTGAACATCTTCAAGCCTTGGGGATGCCTGGCAACAAGAATTGCAAATCGTTGCCGGGAATTCAACCCCCTAAGGGTCCAAGCACCTAATTATCATATACTTACCCAAAACCTGTACTATAATTACTATTACCCAAATCCCAAGTACCTAGTTATTGGGTACATGGACCCTCTGGGAACTGGATAAGGTCAAACTAACCACATTCGGGGCGTAGCTGTGGAAAAGTGTCTTGGCATTCAGACTTCTGAACTTGAGGAGCCCTGAAACTACCCAAAGCGCAGAGAAACTTTGTGTAAGGGCCCACCCCGAACCTAAACCCTACCCTATGGATCCAAATATACAGATAATACCTACATTGGGCCCTAAAGTCTGTAAATCATACCGACATTGGGCTATGTGGATCCCTAGGCCTATAGAAACTCCTGGATCTCTGGGTGCTGCTCTCCTAGCCCAAATGCAATTCCAGCGCCTGAGGGCCTGAATGGGGTTTTCAAAATTTAGGTACGGGCCTAGGGTTTTGTGGGGCCCAAAAGTGGAGGAGAATCAAGTGGAAAAGAAAACGGACGATTGAATGGAAGCTGGGATTATACATTATAAATTTGGGTTTAGAATCAGCCGTGGCGGTGCTGATGATAAGGATGTCAGCATTATGAAGTCGATATTGGTTGAGGCATTGCGTACGACATGCTGAGGAGCTAGCCAGTTCCCTCATGCGGCTGCGAGCCATGAGCCCGAAGCCCTTAACCCCAAACGCCATGCCCTAAACCCTAAACCCTACATTGCAGGCCCCCCATTTCGATGCCTTGGACTCATCTGACGGCCGCAAGTCAATGTCCACAGCTGAGCTATTGTCCTCAGCAAAAATTACCGGTTCTTAGTAGGGAATAAGGGATATGTATGCTTATATGTGTATATACACGTATATTTAATTATATTTATAGAGTTTAGGGTGTAGGGTTAGTGGGGAATCAGCGAATACAACATTACATCGGGACTACGTAGGGGTCACATTCCCATATGCCGTTCCAAGAACCAACCCAAAACTGGAAATAGCCCGTGATCATGCACCTTTATCTTAGGAACAGAATAGCGAAATGTCCCTAAACAATATGAGGTTTCGGAACACCTGCGATGCTTGGCAATTCACTTTGTAATGCTAGAACCGAAACATACACTTGTGCAAAACAAGCCCCGATTTTGATCTCGATTTGATTATACCCGGGACTTATAGCTACAATGGTACCACCCAATAACTAGCAGCTTCCGCACCCTAAACCCTAAACCCTAAACCCTCAACCCTAATTAAACCCTAAACCCTCTTCATTCCGTGCTTCACTCTAGCACTGCAGTTGTGGTCCTTCAAAGGGTCGACAAAAATTAAATGCCTCTGCACAAGAGATGCAAATAGAGCTTCGCCCTGCCAGGTTGGTTTCCATCCCAGTCCGAAACCTTTCAAAATGGATTTCCTGTCTGAACTGTATTTGTGGTTTCCCGAACCTGAGGATATTCTTGTGGGAGGTCTGCATAATCAGGCCTATATGATGTTCTGGGGTATTGGAGTCCCACCCTTTATGGAAACTGTCATACTAATGGTGGTTTCCCAAAATGGGGGGACCCCCAATATAGACCCCAAAATACTATGGTCCTTATTATACGGATCCCAAAAAAGATACCCCTGATTTTTGGGAAACCCTGAACCCTAAACCCGAAACCTTATATATCCCTATATAAGACCTATATGGGGGTTGTCCAATATTCCTTCATCTCGAATCGGGGGCTTGCGCCGTGCTTGCGCGGAGCTTGCGCGCGCAGTTTCGCTCGCAATGGTTTTCGCGCAGGCTCATCACACCAAAACTAATACAATGAACGTTTTCGAACCCTTGCGCCAACCTTGCGCCGTGCTTGCGCGCGCAGGGCTTTTGACAAGTTATGTCATACTTGGTTTTCGTTGATCAACAATTGTAGACAAGGGTTTTCGGACAACCCTCAAATGAAGCTCCTTGTTGATGCCAGCATGCACGGCTCAATGCATGTGACAGCAGTGAAACACCTTCCCCTTTGCACTCTTCTAATAACAAACGGAGCTCGGGCTTAAGCTACGAGTCACCATAAGACACCATAGCTGGGGATGGGGTGAGAGCAGGCAGGAGCCTGGCATGGGAAATAGGAGGGCGACAAACAGGGTTGGAGCATACCAGCAGTGGAGGCAAGGGAGCGTGGGAAGGGGAGGGTGAGGGCCAGCACAAGAGCAGGGATGGAGAGCTTGGGAAGAGCTGATGAAACAAAATTAATGAGCAACTCGGGAGATGCGGCAGGCTGCGACAAAAAATGCGGGGTCAGACAGATACTTCTGGGTAGAGTAGAAAGTACCTGCAGGCCGCATGCGCGTGAATCCCCAACGATTGATGCCTCTTCACACGTACACGGGACCTGACTTTCAAGCTGGTCGGATTGCAACCCACTGATGACCGTCTCTCTCCCTCTAAGCGATATACGAGCCACAACAACATAATTTGAAAGCCACGTCATTAGGAGAGGTCGGGGGAGCGGAAGCCATCAAGGTGGAGCGGGGGGACTGCTTAAAACACATTCCTACTGAAAGCCGATCGAGATGTCAATGAGCCAAGAAGAGCGAGGGGTGGGCGTAAGCGTCTTTAGCACACAGCTCGATGCCAAGGTGAGCGTAGGTCAACAAGGAAAGACGAAGCGCTGCTCTACTAGCACAGAAACGGAATGACATCAATCCATAGCGCCGCGCCTGCACTATGCAACATAGCCTGGGGCGGCTTTGAGGAACTATTTCGTGACACATGCGATGAGACCTTTGCTGGGAGCTTTTTGACAGCAATTCCCGTCGATGTTTTGCCATGCAGACATGGAAGGTCCCGTGCATTTGCAGGTTTTATCGCAACAGGGGACCCGAAGTGGACAGCCAAATTGATTACTTCATTTGTTGACTATTTCATTCCGTTGTGCTTGGTCGTCGGCATCGAACTGGGACCCTGGCTGTAAAATGTCACGGGAACCATTGCCGGATTCGATTGACCAGTTTGCGCTGGGCTTGTCAAACCTTCTTGTATGTTCCGCTTTTCTCAAGCTCCCTGAGGGCCTGGTTTGAGTGACTCGGCTTCAGAATGAAGACCAGCAGAAAGACCAGGACCCGCGGTGGAAAAGGCAGAACAAGGGAGTCAAACAAGCGAGCAGCCGGGGTTAAACGAACGGTCTGGCACAGTCAACAGTCAGGAGTTCGCCGTGGGCAAAAAGATAATCAGATGGGAACCCCACATCATGGAATCCCATCCTGGGGTCGGATTACAAGCAGCAGATGTGCCTCGTTGCAGCAATCATTATTGGACCTTCCAAGCATTTTCTTTCTGGGAGCGGCATGGAGCGGCTGTGCCGGCTCTCATCGAGAGCAACTCTATTAGCTGGCTTGTCATGCAGGGTGTTAGAAGTGATGCCCTCCAGAGTCATGTTGGCGTGCAACTGGAAGGGGTTTCAGGACTGCAAAAGTGCTGCCGCACGAGTGCAAGGTTCGCAAGAGCACACGGTCACCACAGCATCCATGCCCAAACATGCCCAAACCACAATAGCGTTCGTGTTCCAAGAGCATACGGTCACCCGAGCATCCATGCTCAAAACAGAATAGTCGCTCTTTGCCTGACGAAAAATATGAAAAAATGCATTCTGGTCCGTTTGCGTGTGCTTCCGACACTAGAATTTACTGGCAGGGCCAGTGATTCCTGCACATTTGCCCGCGTCCTCGCGCGCGCGAACAGGGCCCGGGGCTGTTGTTAGGGTGTTGCTTGCGTTGTACATAGATTGCCAAGTTGTTGGGGCGGGCACATCCTGCGAATTTGGGAAGCTCGTCCATCTACAAACCCGGCAGCATGCTCTGGCGTCATCGTTGCGCCCGCACGCAAGCAGATGGCAAAGCCATGCAGGATCGGGCTGCTTTGTTGGGCTTGCGTGCGCCTCGCGCGCGGCTTAAGTGCCGGATGCAGCTATTCTTTCCGGCTCCATTCCAGCCGGCCCTCGTGAGCGTGCATTCTGAAGACGCTCCCTACCGCGTTGCGGAGCTGGGGTCGAAACCAAGTAACAACTTGAGCTGTCCTGCGTGTCCCGCACCATGTCTTGGCGGGTGGTTTTCAGGAAGGCAAACATCTTGCCTGTCGCAGAACGAGCAAGGAGCCATGAGACGATGCACACAGTCTCAGACACTTCTGCACCAGCCTGAGGAGTATCCTTAGCTCCGCAATCCGCGCTTAAAGTGAAAGCCAGCTCAGTCTAGCTCTTCTGAAACATGCTGGAACAAATCATGCAGCATAGGTGCCAGTTGCTTTGGCCAGTTACGCATCCACTGAGTCGACCAGCTGCCGAAGCAGAGATCCCGTCGCAATGCCAGCCCGTTGGAGATTCAACAAGCCTTTCTCCAGATCCTGCATGTCCTCTGCCAAGTCCTTACCAGTGGGTATTTCGGACAACGCTTTCATCGGGCCACCAAGCGCCTTGATGCTTTGGCTGCTGCGCAGCACTTGCTGAAATCTGTTCGACTTGAGCATCTCTTGCAGCAGCTCTGCCTTTTTGAGCAAACTGGCATTGGCCCTGGTCTCGGGTCTCTTCACGAAGCCGTCGAGGCTCTTGTTGGCATGATCAAACATCTGACTCAGCTCCTTGGCTGCCTGGCCCAATACTCTCACAGGCCCTTACCCTCCAGCAGCTCAACATCCCCTACGCTCTCAAGCCCGCAGTCTCAAAGGATTAGATGCCGGCACTTCTAACATGTCTTGGCTCTCACGGCAAGCTGCCTCCTCGTCTGGTTCCGACGCTTCCCTGCACATGCACAACGAGCATTGGCTACAAAGCTCTTTCTAATCCCAGAAACTGGCCTGGTTGGCTTGGAAAAACAAGGCCGGCAGCAGGCCGCAATCTCAGGAGCTCACACTTGTCAGCTTGTCTCGAAGATTTGCCACTCCAATTACCCAGAGGTACTAGTCTGTTGGCATGCAGAAGCCCAGACGGAAGAAACATGCGTCCTTACACCCCAGCAACGGATTGCAACAGAGCTCCTTGTCCTCCTCGCTGGTTTCGTCCTTGCTGTCCTTACGGTGCCCATATATCCGGCTGAGGAAGCCGGGGTTGTGCGATCTTTCTGGCTTGCCGAACGGCATGAGCTCCAGAATCTCCACCTGACGGCGTCGTACTTCCGATTTTCTTTTTCCGTCATGTATGGCAAAGAAAACAGACACGACATTTAAAGTAACCTACCCTGAAAGATATCCAGAACTTCCAGAACCCTCCAAAAGGCTTCAGCGAAGCATGCCAAGTCACGATGTTGTCTCCAAACAGCGGCTTTTTCTCAGCTTCCCATTTAGCGTTGTCCAGCATTGCGCCTTAGCTCTGGCTCAGCAGAAGTCCATGTCCCAACGCGTAAACATGGCCACGACCAGTCAAGTTTGCGTCTCTCAAGTCGGTGCCTTGCAGGCAGTCAACCCATGGACGTTTGGGGACTTACCTTCAAGCTGGGCGGGCAGGCAGAGCGACACCTGCAAAACCATCGCATCGCGAAGCTCTGCGCAGTGGAGCCGAAGCACGATTGCATAATGCATGCGCATGATAACCAATCGAGTTTTGATTGCCATTGATTTCCTGCCCTCTCACGGGGGGTTTCAATCTGGACCGCCAGAGGCTTCCTTCTGCCTTCTGAAATCCGAGAGTGAAGTAGCTAGCAAGCGTGTGCTTTAAACGAAAGCCACAGCAAACACCCCGAAACGAATGAAAGAGATCCAGGGTAGGGCTACCGGAATGCTGGCAAACAGCCAAAGTGCAGACCATGCCAAAGGGTGGGGCCCACTCCACACCGCACGAGAGACTCACAACGCAAGTTCAAGGACCAGTGAAGTGAACCAAATCTCGTAGTCATTGTTGTGTTTGCGTGCTGCGCAGTCGTCTGGGCTTGTAAGCCCCAATTGAGGACATCAGTTGATTCGTGCTCGCTGGTGCTCCTGACTGCGCCTTCCGACAGCCCGCCTGTTCGGACCAAGGTGGCAACAGGCCCGTCATTCCAACCTACGTATGGAGACCAACCTTCACCATCGTTGATGACAGTACGCCTGCTTAACGTACACGAACTTCAGTTTGGCTGCATGCGTGGAATCATGTTGCGAGCACGGATGCTATCTACGCATATGTGCAGACCTTCACGCTTTGCCGGTGGTCTTTCAGCCCGCGGAGGGCTCAGAGACTATCATCTTGTGCGCTTGTTCAATCATGCAGCTTGTAAACCTGAGATCTGAGGCCGCCATCAGCCCCTCAGTGGCATCGAAGGGTCACTTCCTCCCAAAATGCCACACCCGTATCAGCTTTAGCACGAGCAAGACCTACTTCCACGGAGAACCCGCTGAACAGAATTGTTTCATGAAGTCCTTTCATATCCCCCAGCTTCCTCAAATCCCACAGTACTGGCCACCATAGAAATCAATATCATCCAGAGTTCGTGCTGATATGAAATACGGCCGACATTTGCAGGTTGGATTCTGGTAAGTGCCGTATCGTTTTCCACATCTTGGCTCTTTTTGAGGCACGGACTTTCGGGACTGCCGGCACAATGAAACTACCAGCCACTGTGTACTGCTGACACAACACGGCTAGTCATTACATCTTGGCTCTGCAGGACTAACCTTCCGGCCTGAAAGGTTTGCACTTCCCAGATTTGCACCTGGCAGCATGTA